TCCATCCGTGTTTTACAACTCAAGGGGGTTGCGCCTTCTACCTTGCAATCTGCTGTTGGTCTGTTTGCGACCCCCACCTCCTTCAGTTGCATATATCTAGATTTCTGTTCAAGACAGGTTGATATTTTCCAATCAGAACCGATTCAAACAATCAGGCTCTTCCGGAGAACAGCAGTAACTCCATAATCCCCAGAAATATTGACGAGCGCCTGATTCCACAGCGTCGAGACACATTCAAATGTACCCTTGGATCAGGATCAGCCTATCGTGAGGTCTCCTGTACATTCCTTGTTATTTGGTCGCATTTAAGCACAAGGGGGCTATCCCGAAAAATGCTGTTTTGAGAAAATCGAATGTAAAGTCTTTGCCCCTTGTTCGGTTTCTTTAAAAGACAAGGAGAGTTTTCTCTATAACTAAACAAATATACACACCACTGAAACCGAACTTCTCCTATAGGTAGGGCAATGCCCACTGTTGGTGTAGGTCAAGATTTCTGGAAACCCCCGAACTCTGGGTTAGCCCGTTTGTCCTTAAAAGCGACCAATTATTCTAGGCCCTTCCTATTAGACCAAGTGCACGTTCGGCTATTTAATTGCTGCTGTACACTAAAAGACGCGATTTCGATTCTTCAGTAGGGGAGCTTAATGTATCCAGTGTTTTGTTCTTTCTGTTGAATTGATGGCGTGTCCAGTCAAATAAAGTTGGTCTTAACTCTGCTTGATAGTTATCTTTTAAAGCAGCATTCTTCATGCATATCTTAATTGTAGCGATGAGGGCGTAAAATATGTGTGACTTCGAAGTAACTCTTTCGTCTATGTCGTGTAGGGAGTCGAACATATCGAATGACACAGCACGCACGTCCAACTCTATCAGTTGGAGAAAGTGACATCGCATGCACACCCCATAACTAAAGTGATTACACCGATTAGGAGAGTGTCCACAAAAGAATCACATTTTTTGCTGAACGTAACAATTTGTTTCTGTATAATGCAGTTTCAATCCGTCTTGTGTGTTCGCCGAATGGGGTCAAACGCAGTTTTCCTGCGTGTGCTATGTGCGTTCTGAAGTCCATATTATAATTTTTTTTAAAGATAACGTTGTGAATGGATCAGGTTGTGTTGACCAAATGTCTACGATGATAAGGAAAAGTATACGCTCTGTATACTTAACATAGTGGGATTTCCAACGTACCATACTGCTCAGAGAATGTAGCATTTATTAAGACTAACGTTTTCTCCTTCGTGGCATTATTGACTTCTTTAAAGAGTGGGAAAGTCCCAAGTTTTGAAAGTTATCCGGAGCTGAATGTCTTAGAGCTAGAATCTAGATCTAGAGCTCTCTTTCTCTTCATTTTTGAGACGAAAGGCTTGGACGAAAACTCCGCCAGCAGTTGCCAAAATGGAGGCAAATGACGTGGCTGTGGTTGGTTCGAACCATATGGGTTCTGAAAAGGTTCAAACCCCAGCCCATTGGTGGATTCGTTTAAAGGAGCCTGACTACAGACGCAGAGTTACGATGTCGCTGCTGATTGCCTGGACTATTTTTATCCTCGTAAGTAGTGTGCGTTGGTGGTCCAATAGGAAATAGGATCCTGAATTGGTTTTGTTTCGTTTTTCGGATTTGGTTCTTCCTTTGCTTGTTGATGTTGCTTTTGGCTGTTGGGTTAGTTTATTAGAACGGGGAGGGGGAGGGGGGTAGATCTAGATTACATAGAAATCGGGTTTTCTAGTTTTGTTTGCAGAATATAATATCGTGTTCTTAGCCTAAAGAATCCAAGCCTTTTTGCTTTAGGGCGTACCCCTTGATCCTCCTCTTCTCCGTTTGTTCGTAACAATCTATTTCCAGGCAAGAGCTGCTTTTTGCACTTTTTGTTGTAAAGGGATTTTCAGAAATTTAAGGCGCGTAAGGCAGTAGCGTGCCAATGAGAACATTTCGAGGCCTCTTGTTCGATTCTAGGCCTAAGAACACAACAGATAGACGTTAAAGTTGTGTAGAAATTCAAGTTCTAAAATAACGTTCATACATTGAGACTTTTCGTAAATTAAAAAAAAGGAAGCTCAGATAAAGATGTATACTCATTCCCTAACTTACCTCTCACATATGTACAGAATGCATGCGGCTCGTACTGGATTTTGAACTGAATTGGAGGAGATTCCATCTTTTTCATTTGACCTACTTTTATATCTAAGATTCAAGACAGCGGCGTTTTCACAAGAGCCAAAGACATATTACTTTGACAAGTCAGAGTCCTATTGGACCACCACCACCACCACCACTACCACTACCACAACAACAACAACAACAACAACAACAACAACAACAACAACAACCCTCCCTGGCAAAACAAGGCCTGTATCCAGTCCAGGGATTCGGCGAGGAATGCTCTGAGGCAGGGTGTCAAACGCGATCAGGGGACCAAACTCAAATTACGCTGAGGGTTGTTGGCAGAACTGGATAAGCGCTCATTGAGCAATGGAAAATCTGAAGCGTTTATACATGTACCAAGAACATGAACTAACGCAGAAAAAAAGTTTAAAATTTTTAACAAATCGAGACGTAGGCTTACGCATTCTTGCTCTTATCTTATGCCAGTTTGTCAAAACTGGGTGCTTGGAATTTTTTTTTTTTCAACAAATTCGTTGAAGTTTGAAGTACGGTTCTGTGTTATGAAGATTCTCAGGATGGACTGCCTTGAATTTCGTGGTGGCCTGATCTGAATATTCGTCAGGCCTGATGAGACCTGAGGGCCTTGGGATCAACACCTATGTACAGAGGGGTACACTGTGTTCTGTGTTATATCGGCCCCTTTGACACCCCCCCCCCCCCA